AACATTATTTAGTTGAATGATATTTGCTGATATAAGTGTCAGTATTTTACCAAGCGTAAGCTTTAATTACTGTCATTCCTCATCCATTTGTGTAAATATAAGTCTTAGTGTACACTTGACCAATATGTTGTTTTGTGATTTGAGTAACATATCCTCCAAAGTTTCCCATGCTGACATACTGACAAACATTCATTTTAAGTAATTGTGTATGATCGCTTAACCTCAAACGACACCCAACTGATGTTTATCTGTTGTCATTACTTTCCCACATGTCCTTTCAGTGAACTTCTCACAGTAAAGCAGATGCCCAAAGGTCAATTATCTACACATTTGTCAAACATCCAATCCAGAGGCCAGAGGTAATTGCCCAGTCCATATGTGCTAAATGCATACATCATACACGGAGCTGAACCGTACTGCTGGCTTTTTCGAAGACTTGCAATTACCTGGAATTTAACAAAATACATGGCAACAAACTGTGCGCGGCTGTGTGTGAGTGTGTGCTTCAAAAAGTTAATCAAAATAGTGAAATTGTTTGCACGGCTTAGCATAAGCAGACTATATTTCTCAGAACAGTTCACTTAAGGTCTTCCCTTGCTAAATGGGAATTATGCAAATGTTCACTGTTGAGTTGACACGAATAGAGATAAAGTCAAAGATGTCAACAATAACAATTATTTCCCTTCCTTCCATATCCCTGACTGAATGCCTGTGAAATTGTCTAAAACAATCAAAATATAGCTTTTATTTATATCACAATCCGCTGAAAATGTTGTTAGATGTTGTTTCGATCTTATTTTCATCCCTGATTTCTGGGCTTAGCAATATTGCAGTAAATTGTTATCAGAGAGGTGAATGAACATGGAATATGAGACCGAGCACAGCGTTTATAGAACACAGAGGAAAGCTAGACACTCAAATTGAGTAAAAGTTCAATTCCCTCGTAATCCGCAACTCGGATATTTTTATGTCAGACTTTACTGCACCGGAACATTGCCTGCCAGGTAAAAAAATCAGGTCCTTGCATATATAAATAGAAATGTCCTACGGTTGTCTCCTGGTGCAGCATGGGATTTATCCTGCTTCTTCTATTTCTTTCTTCTCTACCTAATAAACATTCGGGAATGGTTTAGCAGTCAAAGATTTAAGACCTGCCCCGGACTAAAGATCTACTGAGCGTAATTTATTTGTCCAGGAAAAGGCTCAAATCCATCTCAATCTTTGGTTTTGTTTTCAAAAAATATTTTAGAAAAATAGATACATTGAAACAGCGTACATTATATTTCTATTGTTTTACAGATGACAAATTGGTGTGAAGTACATCACGTGTCTGGAATCAGTGACCATCTGCTTCCCAACACGTAACCGCCCATGATATGGGCCAATGGATACTTACTGGATGGCGTTATCTGCAGACATTTCTGATTAACTATTATACGAGCTTACTGCAGTTACTTATCTCCTCTACACAAGTCTTGTATGGATGGCAGATTTAGCTACCTAGCTAGTCAAATCAAATCTAGCATCCAGCAGGTTGGGACAAGCCGTGTATGCAGAGTTCCAAACAGGTTCTCCAACAAGATTGTGTCTAAAAGACTGAGACCTGGCTCGAAAAACTATGTTGTCATATCTGTCAGTGGCTGGATTCTGTCAGCAGCTTTTATTCAAAGGCTGGTTGATTAGCCATTTCTGTTAGTCCGCCTCGGGAAGCGCTGGCTTTGCTCCTAAACACAAACACCAGGGCATCTGGTCCATCTCACAAACCAATCAGCCTCATTGATCAGTATCGTTTAGAAAACACAAACCCCCACTTGTCTGCCTTCAGGTCACTTGATTTAAGCCCAAGACGCATTTTGTCTCAATTTTTCAACAGTTAGCAACCTAGTGTGCAACCACCCTTAAAATAGCGCTACTATTTAAACCCTTACAGTTAAATGGAGTATATATGAACAATAAGGCAAGAGTGGCGTGGTGGTATTAAGATGATTTCGCCATAGTATATTGGACATATTACACAAACCACCATTATACTTTATGGCAGTAAAAAGTTGTCATATTCATTTTCTGAATTTGGATAATTTAAATCCTATCGATATTGTCATGTTCTATGCTGTTTTTGGTGGCAAAGTATGACAGAAATACACTATTGTAAAAAAAGAAAAACGTCAATTTGGCAAATAAGTTTTCCAAATCAACTTCTGATACCAATGAATGTAACTTAGAAATTACTCATATTTTGATTGAAGTAAGGATGGATAATGATTAAAGGTTATGACATTTGAAAATGCACTAACAGCTTTAGTTTAAAGTTCAGCGTAACACAAGATATGACTTAGTGCAGTATTTCAAAAACTTTTATGGGTCATATATTGTCATTGGTGTTGACAATAACATGATAATGACCATCTCTTTTTCTTCTCATCTCACTGAGAGTAGTGCAGAAGATTATGTACGGTCTTTTACATGAATTAAGATGACCATATTTATTTCCCATTTTATGACCTCACGTCTGTTATATGAGCGGAGAGACGTTCATATGATTGGATTGAAGAAAAGGTCACTAACACATGAAAGACAAACCAGCCGCAATGTCCTCGATAGAATGATTCTTTGCTATCGCAAGTCTGACAAAAGCATTAATAACCGTGCTATTTTTTAGTCTTTCATCATTACTCCGATGCGGAATTACGGAAGATGAGCCATGTCTAATGATCCTGATTACCTAGGCAACGCTAGAGAGACGAAATGATTCATCCTAAAGAATTGACATACGGATGAAAGAAGAGGACGAAAGAAATGACTCATCTGTGATTTACCATAAAAGGGCACTGCCATTGGCCAAAGAAATGTGATCAACAATCAACTTGTGAGCAATCAATAATGTGACGTCAACGAAGTCAATGACTAGGGTTGGCAGGCCATAACAAAAGACAAATCCACATATACAGTACATTAGATTATTACGTATATCCATTCTCTGTGGAGACCCAGCAATAGCCTCCACAATGGCACGTGAAATTAAACCAACCTTATCATCAGTAATGAATATGCCCTATGCCTTGAAATACATGTTATGGAACTCCTTTGAGTTTCCCATTCAACTTATTATGCAGGATTATGAATCACGATGGGATACATTGTAGATCTTCTGTGAGTGACACATCTGTTCCAATTATTCAGGTCTAAAATGAATTTCATGCGGAGTCCTCAGATTATGTCTCTGGCCCGAAGCATGGTGCCGGAACATTCTCCGAGCTGCTTTTTTAAACACATTACCTATCTCATTACAAACCTTACATGATCTCGTATGCGTGGCACAGTTATTGCAGCCGCTACTGCTGGCATCGGCGTCTCATTAAGTTCGCATTGGGCCTCGATACCATCCGGTTCACCGGGCTTTTATAATGAACGGGAATGAATCCCGAGACCCCTTTGGGATGTAAGTGTTGAGTTAAATTGGAATCCTGCTCCTTGGTAGACAGACTAGAGAGAATGTTCTCCCTTTTGATAAACCCGGCAGTTAGGCCGTTTAGCTGAACTTCGTTCCAGGCGATGGACAGGTCCTGAGACAGAAGCAGAGCAGTGGTTTGGACTTGAGTTATTGCCTTGCTGCTTCTCTTCTCGCTTGTTTCCCCTCGATGATTGTGCTGTTCCTGCTTTTATTGCAAGCTGAAATCGAATGCCATGAAACTAGCGCTAGTTACATAGTGCCAGAGCGCAGGCAGCAGAAAAAGACTAGTTTTGTGAACGCCCATTATGTAGCATTTGAAAGAAATACAGTTTTACCATCTTGAATATCATGCAAAAAATGTAATCCCCCCCAAGAATTTACATAAAGAAAATACAGTGATATTCTTTATAAAACAGGAAAGTGTCTGGACAAGTAATGTAAAACATTTTTGGTTGAGACTGTATTGTCATTCTTAAGAACAGATTCACTGATTGGTTTTAACTTTCCCAGCTGATGGATTCAATAAAGCAGCTAGCTAGCTTAGTGGTGATATGATGAAAAAGCTACACAACCGTTCAAAAGTTCAAAATGTCTGTATTTTAGAAAAAAAGCTTAATCAAATAAAGAGAAATAGAACATAAATACAATGTCAACATTGTTAATGTTGGAAATGACTACTGTAGCTAGAAACATATCTAAATAGGCCTGTAATGTTCTTGTGCAGTATGTCACAACGCTGACTAAAGAATAAGCTACACCGGAACCAATGAAGAGATGTAGAAAGGTTGACCTTTTATAATTCCTCCTGTTTCAATGACGATGTGTATGTGGTGAAAAACAAAAAGACATAAACATAATCACTGTCTGTGTAAATCTTTACAAAATACAAACTTAATAATTAAATAAACATTTTCACCACCCGCTGATGCGACTTCACGATGGCTGCAGAGCAGAACTGGTCAGAATGCTCTCGATTGTGCAGTGGTAAAAGTTTACCAGGATGTTGGTGGATCTACGGGGCTTCTTTAACTTCCTTAAAAATTACTACCGCTTTTGGGTCTTTTTGACCAGGGTTGTGGTGTTGACGGGCCAGGAGTGATTGTCGGGGATGTGGACACCCGGGAATTTAACCCTGCACCATGGTTCTATCATTGAAAACTGGGGCATGCATACAGCTTTTCTGTGATCCACAATCAGTCCTTTGGGTTTCTTGGCATAGATGGCCAGGTTGTTATCTGCACACCAAGCCACTAGGTGCAGGACCTCTTCTCTGTAGTGTGACTCGTCGTTGTCCCTGATCAGACCAACCAACGTGATGTCATCTGCATACTTGAAAATAGTATTGGAGCTGTTTACAGAAAGGCAATCATGGGTGAAGAGGGAATAGAAGAGTGGGCAAAGGACACAGCCCTGTGGGATACCGGTGTTCAGGGTCAGGGTGGAGGAGGTGAGATTATCCAACCTAACAGACTGAGGTCTGGCTCAATACTTCTTGAGAATCAACTGTGAAATGAACCAGTTGCTCTCAGAAATGTCCTTTTTCGGAGAAGTTGGTAGGTCAGTGGTAGAGTGCATGCTTTGTATGTTTGATGTCCTATGTTCAATCCCCAGCGTCTACCCAGGTCGCCTGTATTTGTTCTCTATTGGCCTAACTGGTTTAATAAAGGTTAGATAAAGAAATAATATTACTAGACACTACTGACATCCTATTCAACATCTGCCATGTATTAAACAGATGGAATTCATTGATATGATAGGGTTGTTTTACTGTGTCAATTATTCAAATCAACTGGACATTATTTTTAAGAAATGAAACAATATAACCTTTCATTATTAGGTGCTTAATCATATTGAAAAGCCAAATTGTTTTGCATTATAATCACTTTAAGTATATTCAAACTAAATAATGGTTTATTGATCGACTAGTTAGGGCAGACAAATCCCAGATGCATATTTTGTCCGTCTGTACACACATCAGAGAAAAAAAAAACATTTATTCTCTGGGGTAAAAATTGCATGTATATTCCTGAGGTAAAATATATTAAATTACCCAAGGACACAAAAACTGATTTTTACTGTTTACTGTACAGAAGCAAAAAGTTTGATTGGCTTGGGCACTTATTTTGTACCATAACTTCAAGCTGCTAATACAATAGCTCAATAGGATTGAGATTAGGTGACTGTGCTAGCCACACAAGTATAGACAGAATACCAGCTGACTGCTTCTTCCCTAAATTGTTCATGCTTAGTTTAGAGCTTTGCTTTGGTTCATTGTGCTGTTGTAGGTGGACATTTGCTCCAATCAAGCTGTCCACTGGGTATAGCATAACTTTTAAAATCTCCCACTTTACCACCACCAAAGCACTGCCTGACTCTCACATTGCCCCCACCATGCTTGACAGATGGTTTTAAGCACTCATCCATCATTTTAAATTTGGTCTGTATTTCACTAATATTCTTCTATGTGATCCAAACACTCAGACTTAAATTAGCTGTTGAACTGTTGTCACATTTTTTACTATTCTTCTGTCCAGTCTCTTTGTTCTTTCGCACATCATAATCCTCTCCTTTTATTGTCGAAATCCCATCCAGGAGTTATCTCCTCACAGTTTAGGCTATTAAACTGCCAGTTGAGGACCTATGAGTCGTCTTCTCAAACTAGACACTTTCAACTACAGTATTTGCCCTCCTGTGCAGTTGTTCATGGGGGCATTCACTCCTCTTTCTATTTTAGCCAGAGACAGTTTGTTCTGTGATAGGGGAAGTGGACAAATTGGTAGGAGATCTTCAACATCTTGGCAATTTTGTGCATGCATTAGTCTTCATGAGTTTTAAAATGAACTACTTGGATTCTAGATTCTAGTTTAGAGAAGTGACTTATAAATGTACTTTGACTTGTATATAAGCAGAAAAACATAGTAAGACAAAGTATTAGATTTTTTTCCTAATCAACTGCACAGTTTGTGGAAGGTAAATATTTATTTTGTTCTGTCTTGCACCACGACCCCACATCCTTTTCCGCCCGTCACGTTTTGGCTGCTAGGTGGCGGGGTGTCAGCGGTCCCCTCCCTCCCCAAGAGTCAGTGCGTAACATCAATATTGCTGCATGCAATATAGCGATGTGACAAGTTGGAATAAGAAGGTTATGTGAAACAGGTGAGTCAAACATGTAATAATAGTTTAAGGAGCCTCCAAAAATGTTTAGTCCTTCGAGAGCAAGAATAGGTTGATGCTCACCAATCTGCCTACAGATGCGTCAGCAAATTATCCAACACTTTGAGACGAAAATTTACCAAAGACAAATCTGTAGGATTTTGGCACTTCACCTGCTACAGTGCACAATATAATTACAAGATTTAAGGAATCCAGTCAAATCGTGATGCATAAAGGGCAAAGCCGAAAATCACTTCTGAATGTGTGTGATCTCCGATCGTTCAGACGCTACTGTCTTAACCGTCATGAGTCTATAATAGATATCCTGACATGGATACGTTAATACTTTGGTAAACCTTAGTCAGTAAACACAATTCGTCGCTGCATCCAGAGATGCAAGTTAAAGGCCGTAAAAGAAATTCAAGTTAGACCATCCGACCAGTAAACTAAAGTTCTTTATTGATTCCTGAGATAGCACAAACATTTTTTTTTTTACATTCAGTGTGAACGTTGCTTGCAAACTAAGAAATATCCCTTCCCAGAACTCTTAATCAGGTGATTTCCTTTTTGGTACCATCACAGAACGGTCCAGTCGTATGTTACCAAAATAAATGTGAAAGTGTCCGACTCGCTCAAAGCAAGGATGCCAGATTAGCTCTTCATCTGAATCCCTGTCGACAAAAATGCTACGTAATCTCTTATCAAATCAATTCAGATTCACTCACACGCTTCCGGCTTTTTCTAGAAAATCCAGATAGAAAAGATTAGTGAAAGTAATGAGAAATACAAACAATGTAATAATAACAAGTAAGGCAAAATCATGTGAATAGCAGAATATAGAACATTTACGGTACCAGTACATATTATAACAGATGTTATTTTGGTTTATTTTTGTATAGGAGCAGAAGATTAAAGGTAAATAAAAGTGTATTAAGCAGACAGTATGTGCTGACTGATATCTGTATATGGTTGTGTGTGTCAGTTGATAGACACGATAAAAACACAGAATACACTAAATATATGCAATTTAATTGGTTAAACTTTCATTAGGGGCGGAGTTATGAGTTATAACTATTTTCGTAAACAGTATGTTGTCCCGCACTACTCGTCACCTGACACACAAGGGCTCGTCTTCAATCACAAATGTTACACTGACGAGCCTAAACCTTATGATCACCTACAGATGAAATTATAAGAGACAGAAGGACAGAGAAGCAAAAACACATTCACACACATCACAGCGGTGTCTGTAACAGGTAAGATCATGGATTCTGCGTACATTCTGCATACCCCATTTAGACAAATCAGTAACAACGCTGCTTCATTCTGTATGTATTTGACCCGTTCCCGTGGACTGAGTGGGAAGACTTTAACCTTGATGTTGTTGCTGTATTGATCAACAGTGACAAGCGGATCGAACCATGTTTAACACTCCATAGTATGTCACATGTAATCAATATGCAGAGTGGTTGACTGGTTTCAGAGGGAACATATTTAGCATGCTGGGTGTACTCTAAATAACCATCAAACTCTAACATCGCTTAGCCTCTCACATGCTAATGATCAACTGAAAGACTCAGCCAATGCTTCCTCAATAGGAGCTAATAAAGATTTGTTCCAAAGTGTATTACAAGGTCTTAAAAAAATCTAGGAGATTGGAAGTCTACTTCTGACCTGTCCAAGCGGAAACCGTCTCAATCTAGAAAATGGGGTGGGCGAAAGGTACCATCAAAATGTATGTGCTTTTACGAAACGGACCGTAAATAAATTCCCGATGTCCACGTTTGGCATGTTGACATGTTTCTTTGCGACCGTTCCATTTGACACACGTTGAATCGTTTCACTGTTTAATGACAGATGCACCTGCAATAAGGTCCACCACGTGAAACGGGGAAATGGGCTGCATCATTGTGAAATGGAAGAAGTTTGGAAAAGCCAAGACCCCTCTGACCAAACTAAGTAAACAGGTGGACAGTAAAAGAATGTCCTAGTTGTTCTGCAATCATTTGAGATCCTGCAATCTCTGCAGCACTCCATCAACCGGTCTTTTCGGGTACAGACGGTTGCCACTGCCTGAGAATTAACCATATGACATGCTTCCGAACTAAGGGCATGAGGAAAAAGATTTAAACTATTAGCCCTGAATGCTAAACACTCCGCCTGGCGGAAACCAAGTTCCTGCTCATTATCAGAATTCTTCAGCACTACGGTGACCTAAAACACAAAACAGTCGATGTAGCTGCAGGGCTCCACTTAAGATCTCCACGCTATGGGGCTCCACTTATGAGCTCCACGTGGACATTCACAGTAGCTCTAAATAATTATCTGGTCACCTATTGTGAAAATACATAACAGAAATACTGTACAAATGAGGACTGTTATTTTTACAGAAATTATAACTTCAATTAAATTAGGGACTTATTAAGCTCTATGACTGTGTACTTTTAAAGCTGTATGACTTATGATGGGATTTTCCCAGGACCTTCCTCTCATCCTCTATCGAGTTGGTCTGCATATGCGGGCCCAAGCTTACAGACCTAGTGTTCAGTGTTCTGAAAACGCATTCATTGAGTTTGTGGTGGGGGAACAACACAAAAATATTGAACACTAATTTGTCTATTCTTATTGTCACTCAAACAAAGCCTAGCGTTCAGTCGTCAACATTAGGCTGTCATTGAGTCGGGTGTTATTGAGAACTAGCTATCATGCACTTAAATCACCTCAACATCCCATTCTGATGTTTGGCTTAAACTTTAGCAGTTTGTATTGACCATGTATACATGCCTAATTGCATTGGGTTGCTGCCACGTGATTGGCTGATTGTATATTTTTGTCAACAAACATTTGAAAAGACGTACCAAATAAAGTGGCCGGTGATCGCACATATTAAATAAACATACTCTGACCCATAGATTTGATGGTATAGCAAATGTATTGATTAGATAGTAGCTGTATTAGTTCTTAAAACAGTAACCGCAATTACAGACACTTGCACCTCCATTTGTAGAAGTGCTGGTGCAGCCACGCTTCCATCATGGCCATTGTAGCCTAAAAAAGCAAGTCCACTCTTATCTCCACTGTCTTTAGAGCATTTAGCTTAAATCTGCTGAGACTGCACCAGGAAACTAGCTGGTCAATTTCCCCCCTGTAGGCATTCTCATGCCAATCAGAGATTAGACCAATGAGGGTGGTGTCATCTGCAAACTTCAGATGTTTGACAGAGTGGTGAATGGAGGTGCATTTGTTGGTGTACAAAGAGCAGAGGGGACAGGATGCAACCTTGAGGTGTGCCAGTGTTGATGGTCAGAGGGTTCGATAGGTGTATTCCTATTCTCACCTCATTCCTCCTGTTGGAAAGTCCATTTACAATTGGTCACAGACACTCCCATGGTGGAGAGCTTGACCTGGAGCAAGGCTGAGATTATGGTGTTGAATGCTGAGCTGAAGTCCACAAAGAGGATTCTGG